GGGGGTGAGAGAAAAAGGAAATGAAGATGAGAGGTGCTTCCCATTCAGACTGTTAGTAATGCAGCATTGCAGCACCTTCTGTGCCCAGGGACCCAGGGCCAGAGCTCCTCCTTCCCAAACCGGCCTATTCTCTCACTCTCTCTGTCTTGCTAACTTTCTCTCTTTGCCTCTTTTTGTTTAAAACAGAGTCAGAAAGTTCCAACTCCAAAGATTTATTTTATAATGCTATTGTTCGTCGTAAATACAGTAACTTTCTTCAGGCATGGTTTGGTTTCTGTGCAGAAGAAAAAGGAAATCAACAACTGGATGGCATTCAGATGCATTCAGCATCATGAGCCACAAGTGTGACCAATCATCTTGACTCCTTTGTGTCTCATACTGCATATAATTGGAAAATGCTGAACAGCTGTTCCCCTATTGGTTAATTAACCCTTTAAAGGATTCGTGCATGCAAGAAAATGCAAGCTTACAGTGTCACAGATTTATTATGAGCTAGTAAGTGATATATAATCTGCAACTGGAAGATTAAAGCCTTGCTAAAAATGAATTGTCATGCAACTCTTTGAATTTCCATGTAGCTACATGAGTTTTCTGCATTGTGCTGATAGATGTTTCATTAATTTTGCAGCAGTAATGGGAAGTTCGAATCATTACTGTGAATCGATTCATTCAAAAAGTTTAAGAATCAGTTTCAGCGTAAAGTCCTGTGTAAGCTATTTATAATGTTATAATGTAAAAAAAATGTTAATACAATTGTATTAATTCTAATAATATTTGAATTTATTATCTCCCATGGTTTCATTATAACATACATTTAATTTATAACTGAAATACAATTTTCATTTACATTAAACTACTAATTTTAATCTCTAATCTAATTTCTTATCTGAAAGGTTTATTCACACTTAAATAAAATGCTTTTAAAGTAACTTTCACAGTTTCCACCATATCAGTGAAAAATTGGTTCAATCCAAATCCATTAATGCATATCAGATTATGAATTGTTCTAGTTTCAGTGAGTCAGCGAGATTCAGTCCGATTCGTGAAGATGTCAACAGTTTTGCTCAACTGTTTGTTCAACTGAATCCTTAAAAAGATCCAACTTAAATGAACAATTCGTTCATGATTCAGATAACGCTACTCAGCAGACCACTTTTCTGTGACTGTTCAAAGAGACAATTCTTTCCCCCTGAGAATATCTTGAAAAGGTCCATTTTACAGTCCAACATTATGTAAAGAGTTCCTTATGAGGCACTTTAGGTTAGTTTTATGGCACACTGTGTGATTTTGACAGATGGATATTCAGCAGCATGAAATCAGAAGTCTATTTATCTGTGCTTTGGTAAGATTCCTCCATTTCTGCTCTGACACTCATCTCCAACACATAATGGAACATTCCACCTCCTGTGGGTTCTTCACAACTTATGTAACCTGCTATCAAATAAGCAATAAGTATTTTTTTGAATACCACAGATTCTGAAGGTAGAACAATGGTAATAAAACACAGGTTAAAGGAGTCTGGCTTACATAACCTCAGCATACATTAAACCATTGTTTTAATTGAAGAAACTCAGTGAGGTTTAAATAAAAAAGGTTTATATATGTGAAAACAAGCGAAGATGTACGTATATTACAAATTGATTTATGCAAAGGTTAGGTGGCCTCTTGGGTGCACAAGAATGGACTAACATGAAGATGCTGCAGAAATCGCCACAGAGATGACAGAATTATCATGACAGAGGCACCAGTGTATAGAGAAATATTATGGGACTAGAGATAAATTGGAGGGAAATCCTGTCCATGTCACACTAACCCAGTTTTGAAACGCACTCATTCAGCGTATGGAAACTGGTAGAACTAATGTCAACATCCCAAGTGATATTCAATATGTTCAGCTGTGATGTGTTTTGATAGCGTGCATGTTTGCTCAGCTCTGGATGAAATATCACTCTCTGGGGCTTGAATGGAACCACATGAGACCAACAGACTCTTACTATTAAATGGCAAAATAAGCATTTTGAATTGGCCAAGTGGTACTTCCAGAAGAAATCTTTTGAAAGATGGCACAATATCTAAGACAAACCAATTTTCTCAAATGATTAAGTCTTGTCACGCAATATCTTTTCTTGTGCACTGAATTAGAATTACCATTGTGACATGGAGAGTTATATGTTTGTCTCTAACTTGGATATTGGTAGTTTATGAACATAAGATATCAAGTCATCCTTGGTTTGTCTTTCTTTCTGGGTTCTTGGGAAACAACATTTCGTTGCATAACGTATTTTAGCACCATTGTTTGAAACCATGCAAACCTCTAAAATTCCTGGAATCCTTCAACTAGTGAAATAT